TTCATGCTCTGTCTCAAAAATAAATAAACGTTAAAAAAAAATCTAGAAATCTAAAATCTAAAATCTGGTCCAGTGACACCAACCCTCACACCTACAACCATTTCTCATGCTGTTTGTTCTGCCCCTTGGCCTGCTGCAACTGTCGAGCTCCTAGTCACTCCTCAAGAACCAGGGGAACAGCCACCGTCTCCGTGAAGGCTTTCCCTCACCTCTCACAGACAGAAGTGATTTGCCTCTATAGATTTTTTGCATAATAACATCTTTTGGGGAGTACCCACCACTGTGCCTTGTGCTATAGCTCTCTGTATCTGTCTTCCCTCCCTTCCAGGCATTTAATTCTGGCCCCACTCAGTGCCATGCGTCCAGTGCTTGGTACGTTGTTGAGGCTGAGGAAATACTTGATGAATAGGGCCTTTGTTTTCCCTCTGCTCTCACCCAGGCCTTGCTTCTAGGAATCGTTTCGGATGAGCCAGGAGAAAGTCTGGGCAAGGCTAGACCAGAAGGTCCTTCTGCCCAAGGGAACCAGCGTGTATCTTTCCCAAAGTGTGAAGGCAGGTCCCTATATACCTATGGAGGACACCCCCTGCCTTCAGACATAGTCCAGGTTGTGGGCTGGGCAGATTAGTGGTCCTGCACCAGTTTAATGTCACGGGCTGGGGTACAGTGGGTTGTTTGTTCCAGAACCTCCTAGCTGCCCCCTGATGCTCTAAAGGGCAGTCACAGGTGCCTCTGGTCAGTTAGATTGGCCGCTCATATATGTGGTTAGAGATCAGCCTTTCAAAATGTGGGGCCCAGGGGAAAACCTGCCTCCACTGCTGCCTGCTGTGACACTTGTCGCCAGCAGAGCAGGCTAGGGTGACCGCCGTCTGGGGAGCCCTGTCTAGAACTGAGATCTCTGGCAAAGGCAAGGATGGAATGGGCCCATCCAATCTAATTTCTTGCCTAGACTCTTGCCATGTCAGACCCATGTCCTGACCAGGTCACCTTCCTGGTCGGAGGCGATGGGGTCTTTCTCTCCGGAGGGCACTTCCGGTGGTTTTCCAGCTCCTTTCCTCCTCGCAGTGGCGTGGGCCTGGCACGCGCACATTTTGAGAAGCAGCCCCCCTCCAACCTCAGGAAATCCAACTTCTTCCACTTCGTGCTGGCCATGTATGACCGGCAGGGGCAGCCCGTGGAGGTGGAGCGCACAGCCTTCATCGATTTCGTGGAAAAGGACCGTGTGAGAGGCTCGTGGGCCAGAGCATGGGGTGGGGAGGGAGGGCTTCCAAACTCTTTTAAACCGAATTTTTGCTCTGTGAATGGTATCTATTGGGAATAGGAGAATAATTCAAAAGGAAACAAAATAATTTTTAAAACATGTGGTGGCAGCATGCATCTTTACGCGCCATGTGACAGTCTGTGACGAAACCACCAAGTATGTCCCCGCGCACTGCTTGAAGGAAACAGGAGTTTAGAGGCGTCAAGTCAAGCAGTGCAGGGTAGAATGGGATGGGGACTGGAACCTGCCCCACCCTGCCTTTCTCTTCCAGCCCCTCAGTCCTCCCAGCCCATGTTCTGGGCTCTGGTTCACTTCCTCCATTTACCCCCCCACGGCTCCCCAGGCGTTGCCCTTCTGAGGACCACCTCCTAGGCCCCAACCCCAGAAATCTACCACGGGCTCCAGAGGCCAGGGGTGGCAGCTCCCTGGAGTCCTGACAGTTCGTCTCTCACTTAGAGCCTGCCAACAGGAGAAGTGCAGGGTGGCACCACCATGCCCAGCGGCTGAGGGCAGCCAGCCCTGGCTAGGACTGCAGCCTATATGCCTATCAATAGCCCAGGCCCGGGTCAGAGGTGTCTGTTCAGTTTGCCACAGCTCTTCCGGTCTGCTTTTGCCGGCTGGGGAAGATGAGGAGAGAGGGAAGGAGGAAAGGGAGGGAAGGAGGAGAAGGTGTGTGTATGTGTGTGTGTGTGTGTGTGTGTGTGTGTGTGTGTGTGTGTGTGTGTGCTGTCTGCAGTTTGCACACATGCTTCAGGATGAGGATACTGATGTCCTGTCTGACTATGGAATCCTGGTCAGGGGACTCTCACCAGGAGCACACAGGGGAGAAGGGTCGCCGTGGGGACCTGGAAAGCAGTCCTGAGTAGGGTTGAGGAACCCTTGTCCCAATGGCATGCTGCTCTGGCGGATGCAGCAGGCTGCCCGACCTACAGGGTCTCTCCTCTCTCTCTCTCTCTCTGGACACTTTTTATACACATGAGAAAGAGCTCAAATTGAGCATGCGGCTCATAAATTTTCAAAAGAGTGAACCCACCCATCCACAGCCAGCACCCAGACCAAATGTGATGTGAGTCAGAGCCCCAGAAACCCCCTCATGCCATGCTACTCTTCCCAAAGGAATTAAGCCAGTGTCCCAGCCAGATTTTTGAATATTCTTCTCCATGCATGAAGGGCTGCCTCTCAGGACCCTGTGCTGGCATCTCTGGAGAGACCCTGCCTAGAAATGCCAAGCTCACCAGGAGTAACTTGAGGAAGGGCAAGAGCTGTGCCCCATACCCACCCCTGCCCCCCCTCCCCCACCCCGGCTGGCTCCTGAGGGTTCACCTAGGAAGCAACAAGTTTCCTCCTCTCTGGCTCACAATCCGGGAGGCTAACCCACTGCTCCCCTCCCCATGTCCCAGGCTTTAGTAGTTAAAAGCTTTTCAGTGGTGGCAGGGAGGCCTCTTACAAAAACACTTGTGAAGCCACATAAACAGGCCAAGGCTAATAAGGACTCAGGACCCCTCTCTTCAATGTACTGTGTCAGGAGCCTCCTCCTCCCTCACCTTCCCCCCACCCGGCTTCCCTAGGGCTGAGGAGGAAGGAGGGGTGACGTGAATAAGGGGCAGGGCCTGGTGGGGCAGGGGCAAGGTGCAAGTATTTAAACCTTCTCACCCTGCACAGTCTCACTGGCAGTGGGCAGCACTCCTGGGCACATTCAGGGTTCTTGTCTGCCTCATAGATGATGGCCCCTGGGGAGAGCACAGGCCTGGGGGAAGGGCTCCTCTCAAGTCCAAGTGGAGGGAAGAGATGAGCCCTGCCCCGAGTCGCGCCTCCCAACATCTCCGGGCCTCTGGGGCGCCCAAGAAGGCAAAGCAGGAGCTGGGATCTGGGCCAAACCAGGACCACCACAGTGGGGGGCGGGATGGGCTAGAGTGTCTTTGAGGGTTG